ATATATATATATAAAAGCTCCATAAGAATACTATCTGAACATGGGAAAAGAAAAAAATAATGAATAATGTTATTATATCACCAACAGCCAAAATGAGACTTTAACATTTTATACAAGTAAATGAGGGTACCTAAAATAAATACTGTACATACAAATGAAAACAATACCTGGAGTAGAAAGATTTCAGAGCAACTGAAGTGTCGAGCTAAAGATTTTTTTCAACAAAAGTGAAAGGAAGACAATCTTACCTTATCTAGCCTTTTTTGCCAACTTTCTTCACGCTTTACCACGAGTTCAATACAATGGGAGAGCGTAGCAAGGATTCCAGCAGTAGTTGCCTTGAAAGTTATAGCTTCTCCTTTAAAGTCTATGCCATTAATTCCTTTGGGTGTCACATGTGGAAACACTAAAAACAAATATGAATCATTTACCAATATCTACCTTTAATTTGGATGAATGTTTTCACATGTATGCTTTATGTTAAAAACTTTTGAAGAAAATATCACACTGGCTACATATGTTGATTTAAAAATTAAAAGTACTATCAATTTTTCAGCTAGCCACACAAAAAGGGAAAAGACTCCAAAGGAGGATTGCATCCCCTAAGCTTCATCTTGCTATACTGTATTTCAAGTCTGCTTGCAATGCTGTATTACTCTGTAGATCATGTGGGTGGAAGGAGTGGTAATACTTTAACAATAGCAGTTTGACAGCTTGAAGTGAGGCCTAATTAAGACAGAGCAACCTTAAAACATATCTGATAAGAGTACTAAGCAAACAACAATTTCAAAATGCAATCAAACCCAAAATGTAATAGTCAAGCTTGTTTTAAGTAATTATATATTAACACCCAAAATGTATGTGTGTAAGAAAAGTTGCATCAAATGTGTTGAAATATCCAAGTACTGTGGGCTTTGCAGTTCCAACTGCTTCATGCAGTCAAGCAAGCCATCTGTTGCTAAGGCTATTTAAACAAATGACTTAATGCATGACAAAAAAGTACCTATTATATGTCAAACTCGTATGTAGGTTGACAGAATAACAACAAAATAGAACATATTAATGTCATAAATATAAGAAAGCTAAAAATAACACCCATGTTGCAGCTGACTGAGCCTGGCAAGTTAAAGCAACTCCTGCTACGCTGTGGGGCAAGCGCAGTGCTTACCGTCCAGGAGGAACTAAAGTTTTTATTTATTTATTTATTTTACTCTGTCAGTTTGTCAGTATGGCACCACTTTGTGAACAAGAAAGTACAAATAAATATTTGTGCAGGTTTCCCTTGTATCTGTCTGCAAGGGTGAATTACAGCTCAAGCAGCTCAGTCCTTGTAGGTACCAGAAATGCAATTGCTGTTCTGTAATGACAGTGCACAGTATCTGCACTCACGGGAACAGAAGGCAAGCGTCACATGGCCCTAAGCAATGGCTTTATGTGTCCCCAGAGGTTTCAGACATGCCTTCCTTTCACTAGGAATCAAACGATTTTCAAACACAATTAATGTCCATATTTGCTTACTGAGGTATTTGAAGGCATGTATGCTGTGGCAGAATACAGCTTATTTTGTTTCACATGAAGCAAGAGTAATTTTTGAAAGCTAGAGACTGTGGCAGGAGGCTGGAGAGAAATGGAAAATAAAGAGAACAAATTTGCTCTAGAAATCAAACTGTGCAGATCAGTCCTCCTTCTGCCAGCAGTTGCAGGGGGAACATGGAAGAGGCCCCATCTGAAGAAGCAGTATAACATGGAAAGAGAACCATGCAGTGGATTCCCTGAGAAAAATTAAAGCTAGACAAACAAAACCTTGACCTGCACAATACTATTTTACTTAAGAAAAATGCAGTTTATAGCAGTAAAATAAATCCTCTTGTTGGTATAGGCAGGGCACAGGCTAAGCAGCATAGTTGTGCTGGTAATAGGGGTGATTTTTTTTTTTTT